GGGAGCTCAAAGGAAACTTGTACTGGTCAATAAATCGAATGAAGGAGTACTATGATAAAGGAGGAAGAGGGGAACGATTCGAACTGGGTGATTGGGTTTACTTGAAGCTTAGATCTTATCGCCAACACACAATCTCTCAAAAGACTCTATTCAAGTTGGGAAGTCGTTTCTATGGCCCATACCAAATTGTGGAACGCGTGGGGGAAGTTGCCTATCGACTTGATCTACCGACCGAAGCTCAAATTCATCTGGTGCTTCATGTGTCTCAACTAAAGAGAAGCTTGGGGGAAAATCAAGGAGCTCAACCGAGGCTGCCGACCGTGAACTCCGAAGGCACTATGATCATACGTCAAATACGAGCATTGGATTATAGGCGGGTAAAAAGGGCTAGTCGCTTCTGTTGGGAAGTCTTAATCGAATGGGACCAACTTCAGGAAGAGGAATCGACTTGGGAAAGTTTACACGATATGCAAATTCAATTTCCGGATTTTGTCCTTGAGGACAAGGACAATCTTGAAGGAGACGAGAATGATGCAGATGAGGGCCGTCAGCTGAAGAACGCGTACAACTGGGCTCCTCGAGCTAGAATGAAGCTGCAGAAAAATAGCAGCTTTATAGGGGTTCCTTAGCGGCGCTAAGGCTGAGGATAGCTGAGACAGAGGCTTCACGCTAACATGATTAGCGGCCAATAATGACCCTTAGCGGCGCTAAGGCCTGGGCGGGAGCAGTTTTTTATTTCAGTTTTCTTTTCATTTCAGGTGTGTTTTGGGTAGTTAGTAGGAATATTTTATGTCGTATTTAGTTCATTTGTAAGACTATCTTCTATCATTTATCAAAGAACTCAGAAAAAAGCTCGTTTCCGAGCACAAATCCGTGTCAAAATCAAAGCTTAGTGCGTGTTTTGATACAAAATTCGATACTCGATACACGATTCGTAACACATTGTCCCGACTTGAAAAAGGTTCTCAAATTACAAGTATATATATATATATATATCATTATAAATATCGCGTCTTTTTATAAGACTTTTCCATTAAAAGAAAAATATCATATCTCATATCGTGGCCACTCCATTTCCCAAATAACCCTAGTTCACTCGTCTTCCTCTTTGAGCCGCCGCTGTCAAGTCTCCAGCTTCTACCTCCCGCCGGCTGTCGAGATCAAGGCCATCGCCCTTCTATCTCTCTCTTCCTCTCTATCGCCAACAATTTTCCATATTTACAGTTCTTTGTTTTTCTTCATACCATAAATCCATGTTCTGTATTTGTCAAATCTCTCTACATGGAAATGAATCGGTCCCTTCAAAAACGTTTCTTTTTCTTTCGACATCTGAAAAATTTACAAACCTCAAATTGTATGACTTGTTGAAGATCCTGGATATGAAAATTCGAAGTCGATGGAGAATTTGGATTTGGAGGAACTCAAGGTATTTTTTAGGTTAATTTAATTTTTACATTTTTATTATTTTTATTATTATTTTTTATTTTTTTTGTCCCTGAATATCTCGCAGGTTCAGAACGCAGACCCAACAGGGACTAATAGTTCTAGCCCAACTCTCTCCCAGGCCCAACTAGTAGTGACCATTCCAGCCCATTCCAGCCCAACTGGAGAGTTCATCTGATGTCTTCTCAGCCTAGGTCACGTCACTCACTCACTCTACTTTCCTTTATTTGTCTCTACGTTTTTTTGGTATTTCTCCACTTGCAGAATGTCGTCCATTATCAAGGGAACTTTCTTCGACCGCCATTTTTCCTCAGTGGCTTCTCGCTCTCTTCTTCCACCAGGTATGGACTTCTGCTAGGTTTTCAGTTTTTTTCTTTGTTTTAAATTTTGACCGCCATTAAAATACACATATTCATCTCTCTTTTTTTTTTAGCTCTCCCTGTGAATCTCAGGGTACATGCTCCTGCTCGTCTCCCCATATCTCTGTCAATATCTTCATCCGGTGAGCTCCCCCATGTTGTAGCTGTCAAGTCACCATATCCTGGTGTGGTTGTTGGTGGTAGCCGTCCTTCATCTCTTCGTGTGCTGTTTGGTAAGCATTTTATGGTCATTTTTTTGTTCACTTCACGTTTTATACTTGGTTAAGTTAATATAACTGATGTGATGTTTGATTTTGATAAGCATATTATGGTCTTACTTTGCATTTGTTTGTTTACTTCACATTTTATACTCGTTTTTATATAATAAATGATGTGATGTTTGGTAAGCATGTTATGGTCCTGTTTGCATTTATTTGGTATACTTCACATTTTATGCTTTGGTAATATAAATGATGGGAAATGCTACGATCTCGTTACGGAACCATTCCGTCAAGGTTCGTAACCGTTAGATCAGCTATCTCCGATAATGATCTGACGGTTACAAAATCCCGACGGAATGATTCCGTAACGATACTGTAGTATTTCGCATAAATGATATTTGTTGTTTAATTTATTATGCTCCTCTGTTGACTTTTTGTGCATCTAATCTAATACGTTTCCCCTTTTATACTTGATAATAAATGTCAACATTCTGTGTTTTGCTCTTATACTTGATAATATAAGTCAATATTATTCTGTCATTTTGTTATTGTATTTCCTGACTATGCATTTATGAGTTTTAATACATTTCCCCTTTTTACTAATAATAATTTGTGCAGCTAAACCGTCTGACGATGGTGGTCCGGGTGGTCCTTATCACTGCCTGGACTGCCCGTACTCGTGCAAGTCAGCAAAGACTTTATCCCATCACTACAATCTCCGCCACGAGGAAATTGCAAAGCGCAAGCATCGGTGCCCCACTTGTGGAGCCTTCTTCATGACTGAGAGTCTGTACACCTTGCACAGGCCTATCTGCCCCCACAGGGGCGGTGGAGGAGGTGGTGGAGGAGGTGCTGCATAGGTGTTGGAGGTTACGTTTTTTTATTTTTGTTGGATGAGGCAGTGACTAGGACTAAGCATGCAGTGACTAGATTTGTCGCATTGCTGACCAGGTGTTATTTTTTTTGTGTATTTTTGTAACACCTGATGATGATTTTTGTACATGTTTTGTGTTGGTGGTTATGTACAGGCCAAAATAGGGGGTGGTGTTGTTTTGCACAGGCAAATTTGCAGAGTTATATGATAGTAAATGATCTCAATGACTTTAGTCATTGTTTTATTGGTGTTGTTTTGCACAGGCAAATTTGCAGAGTTATATGATAGTAAATGATCTCAATGACTTTAGTCATTGTTTTATTGGTTAATGAACCTGTGCGTAATTGGTAATATCTTGATTTTAATTATACATCGACGTATACATGGTTAAGTTTTATATGGAGTGTGCATGTTGAGACTTGCATGTATAGAAAGAATGCTAATGAATGTATGATAGTGTGAAGGAATGTGTGATATTGAAGGGATGTGTGGCATGGATTATGCTAATTGCTTGGTAATTTTCATGTGCTTAATAAAAAATGCTATTGTTGAGCGAGTGATTTAAAAAATACAATAAAAATAACTCACCCTCCCTTCCTCTGAGGTTATGCAGGAAAAGAAAAAATATTAAGAAAACCGTCAGGCATGTGATGGGTGACTTTCTCCTTTTGACCAGCCTCTCCGGCCGCTAGCGACGGCAGGCTCCTCCGCCTCGCCCCCTACGTTTCCAGCCTTTGGGCTAGTTGGGATGATTATCTTGCTTTTTGGTTTTTCTCTAGACTTGAAGCTTCTTGGAGGCTGAAATATGAGCCTGAGATTTATGTCTCAGCGCCAGATTTGCTTAGTCATTGAGTCCAGTCCAGAGTTTTTAAATTTGGGGACTTTAGATTTGTGGTTCGCTTTTGAGAAATTTGCACCCTTTACTCATGTACATTATATTCCCTTATATATAGGGCTCAAGTGAATGAACAATATGAGGGTTTTCACCGCGTATCTCTTCTCTCTTATTCTTCTCTACTCCTTTCTTTGTTTTTCTATCTATCTTACATATGGATCTTACATATTGACAATCTGTATTACAACACGTTATCAGCATGAGTACTCTACCATCTAAGTGAACGGCTGCGGCATCAAGACAAACAGACAATCAAGGTAACAATCAAGAATTGATGTACGCCATAGAAAAGAATTTGTCTTTTCTGTCAAGGTAACATTCAAGATCTATTCAATATCAATAATGATCTATTAGTTTCATCAATTTTACTTACATCTATTGATCTCTAAAGTGTGAATTGATGATTTTGTATGAGTTTGATTGTTGTGGTAATGGATTCATGTGTAGTTTTCGTGATATTTGTTTCAATGGATTTTGTTTATTTTTTAATTTGGTGTTTCTCGAAAATTGGGTTCAATTGATTATTATACATGTTCTCGAAAGTGCTGTGCATATATCTGGACCTTTTTCTTTTCATTGAGGGTCTCGAAAATTGAATTCTGATTGGGTATAGTTTGTAGAATAAACATGATTTATTTGTTCTTATAAGGTTCAAAGGATTTATTTAAATCCATAAGGTTTACTTGAATTATTTGATTTGGTTGAATTGAACTTGGTGGTGAATTATTTGCTGAAGGCAATCAAAGCATGCGCAGGTTAACATCATTTAAGTTTGGACGAGTTCTCAGTGGGTATTTCAAAATCATATATCCTTGAGGCTTGAATTCATTTATTTGTCAAATTGTTATTATGTTTGAAGACCAATTCAAAAAGCATGTTTCACTTGTGGCCCACAAATTGAACTTGTATATTGATTGCTGAATGTCTAATTGTGATGGCTTGAATTTTTGTGGGATAAATAATGATGATTTGATAAATTTACTTACATATGTCATGCGATTAATTATATGGCCCAATATTTGTATTTTTGTGAATATCAAATTCTGATGACTTGAAATATGTGGGATAAATAATGCTCATTTGATCAATATTCTTACCTCTGCCACTCGAATAATTATATGGCAATGTCGTATTATATGCGCCAGTACTTTAAATTATGCAGATTAAATGTAATCAAAGTTGCTCCTTTTTTTAGTCCAACCGAGCAAGATTAGTTAAATCCATAATATTTTATGTGACTTTTATGCTTCTCTTTTCTTGTTCTCTTTATTGCACATATTTTATAAACTGAAGGATGTCTTATATAATCTGCAATATTATAATTTCACTTACATGATTTGAAAATTTGAAAAGTATTTCTGTTTAATGTTTTTAGTGCTTTAAAAATTCATATGATATTATAAGTATGTCTATTGTATATGAGAGGAAGATTATATACAAAAAAAGGTGAAAATATTGGATATATATTATTGATGCTACATAGCTCAATTTATTATCATCTTTATAATATGATTGTATGAGTAGATAAAATTGTGCCATTATGAAAATGATGGAGTATTATTTAAAGAATATCTATATATCCCAATGTATTAGATTCAACTGAATACTAGAAGTCCCAGAAGGACACTAATATTAAACATTGATTGATAGAACGATTAAAATAATGCTCGTTTGTCAATAAGATGTCAATCAATATTTTATTTATCAATAGATTGTAAGTTGACAATAAAGTTCTTATACGCTCCCTGAAGGATCTTTTATAAGTTAACAATAAAGTTTTGATATACTCCCTGAAGGATCAACACTGACACAAGTATCGAAATAAAAGAATAATTACACTGTGAGTAAGTCTTGATGACTAATTTTGAATTAAGATGCGATCAAATATTTTATGATTTGTTATGAATTGTTTGTATTCCTGAAGTAATACATGAGAATAATGAAATCCAACCAAATCAATACTCATGGACACAAATATATTAAGAATAGTGATATAAAAGTAGTTCATTGTGATTGTATTAGTGCCAGAAGCACATGTACAAAAGTATAAGTTTTTCACATGAGATATATGATAGAAATTGTCTATCTTCTATAAGACTGTATATTTCCTTGATTTAATTGTCCTTATTTGTATATGATCATCTCTTGTTTGATATGTATCATATCATTCTTTACATTACTTGTTAGGATTTGAAAGTGGTAAGACACGTAAGTTATGTCCAGTAGACATTATTCTCTAGATACAATTATTTTCGATGATGGAGGAAAAATTTTGTTTAACGTACGTCATGACATCTCTCATACTTCAGTTGTTATACTCCCGAAGAGTTATAAAATAAAAATACCGACATATTTTATTATTCGTCCATGGATCTGAATACGCATGAAACACATGTGGAATAATTTTAAAAATGTGAATTGTGTATGTTGTTTGGAACATATATGGTGAAGCTATCAAAATAAGCTATTACGACATGATTTAGTTTGAAAATTATAGTTGCATATTTTGTTCCGTTGTTTTATGCATTAAGTATGGACATGTTGAGCCTAAATCAATTTGAATATCCTGAACTTTAGTCTAACTGACTAATGAACCCAATGAATGGTATGCATGTAGTTATTTTATCATTTTGTCATAAATTGCAGAGCAAATATCCTATTGAATTTTATTCCGGTAAATATGAGTTTCCCTGAAGGATTATATAACTAAAAGTATCGCTAGTGAATTTAAATATCGACCTAGATTTGGTTATCCTTGAAGGATTGGTCCTGTTGACCAGTATCATAATTGCATAAGAATTATCTAGGGAGTATCTTTGAAAGATTGATCTAGTAAATAATCTTGTTGATTTTTGGATAAATTCATGGTCTTTTGATTTTAGATCAGCTCTGCATATTCAATATACTCTTAATGAAGTTATGTAACCAGAATGTTACATAGATTGAATCTATACACTGAAATTATTTATATTTGTTTGTATATTTGATAAGATGCATACCACTGACTTATATTGTTGATAGCTACAATAAAAGGCTCACAAGCAAAGTACAATTGTAGTGCCTGAAGCATATAGTGTTCACTTAGAAATGAATTATTATACTTCGATGCCCAACTTATATATTTGATAATTAGCATGAGCAGTTGGATCATAGTGGGCAATTATTTATGATAATTTCCCCCTAAAATGCGTGGAGAATCGAACATTTCCCATCTGCAATTTATTGTTATTTTATTATGTAATA